AGCAAAGATGAATATGCCTTTTGTCGATAAAAAGGGTACTGGAAGAAAGAATGTCCCAGGCTAAAGAATAAAGGCAAACGTGAAAGGGGAAAGGTTGTCTCATAATCAAATGTGGTCGAGTATGATGATACAGATTCAGATTTTGCATTCGCTACTACACCATCAACCAGCTGTTCCAATTCATGGTTATCCACCATATGACCCCCAATAGAGAATGGTTCTTTGATTTTAAAGAACTAAAAGGGGAAAGGATTATCTCTGGTACACTGGTGATAATGAAGGGAATCCGGAAAAGAAACAATGTGTATTACTTTCTGGGCAGTACAATTGTTGGGACAGCAGCAGTGGCAGCTTCTACTGATGAACAGGAGTCAGAAGAAACCAGGTTATGGCATTTACGCTTGGGGCATGTTGGTGAAAAATCCTTGAAATTACTGATAGATCAAGGATTATTGAAGGGTGCTCGGGCTTGCAAATTAGCTTTTTGTGAGCATTGCATCAAAGGGAAGAAGACGAAGGTGAAATTTGGAACAACAGTCCATGATACTAAACGTATTTTGGATTATGTTCATTCAGATATATGGGGGTTTTCCAAGACAACTTCATTGGGAGGAACACACTATTATGTCACCTTTGTTGATGATTTTTCCCGGAGAGTTTGGGTGTATACAATGAAGACAAAGGATGAGGTGCTAGGATTTTTCCTTAAATGGAAAAAGATGGTGGAGACTCAAACAGGCAGAAAAATAAAACGTCTCCATACAGACAATGGTGGAGAGTACAAAAATGATATATTTCTGAAAGTCTGTAAAGAAGAAGGTATTGTCAGGCATTTCACTGTCAGATCTACACCACAACAGAATGGGGTGGTAGAGCGTATGAACCGGACATTAGTGGAGAAGGTTCGGTGTATATTGTCTAATGCTGGGTTAGGCAAAGAATTTTGGGCTGAGGTTTTGGTCTATGCTTGTCACCTTGTCAACCGCTTACCATCAACTGCTATTAGCGGTAAAACACCATTAGAGAAATGGTTTGGAGAACATGCTACAGATTATGATTCCTTACATGTGTTTGGTTCCACTGCATACTACCATGTTAAGGAGTCAAAGCTGGATCCAAGAGCAAAGAAGGCAATCTTTATGGGGATCACCTCTGGTGTGAAAGGCTATCGTCTTTGGTGTCCAGAAACAAAGAAAATAATCTTCAGCAGGGATGTTACCTTTGATGAATCTACCATGTTGAGAAAGGTGACTTCAGAAAAATTGGAGCAGACAGATGGAACTCCCAAACAAGTAGAGTTTGAAGGAAGCAGAATTGACCCAGCCAGTAAAGAAACTGATGTTAACTCTCCTATGGTAGAAGAAGAGTTAGATGAAAAAGAGGTTCAGACCCAAGAACCTCCACAGCAACATGAATCAATTGCACTCATAAAGGGAAAGAGGACCATTAGACAACCTGCTCATTATGCTGATATGGCCTCTTTTGCATCACCAATTGCAATTGATGACGTTCCTGCCACTTTTAATGAAGCAGTCCAAAGTTCAGAACATAAAAAGTGGAGGATCGCCATGAATGAATAAATGTAATCCCTTCAAAAGAATCAGACGTGGAAACTAGCTAGTCTTCCGAAGGGAAAGAAGGCAATTGGGTGCAAGTGGGTATATGCAAAGAAAGATGGATTTCCTGACAAGAATAACATCTGCTACCAAGCAAGATTGGTGGCTAAAGGCTACGCTCAAACGGAGGGAGTTGATTATAATGAAGTATTTTCTCCAGTTGTAAAACATTTCTCCATCAGAATTTTGTTGGCTTTGGTAGCACAGTTGGATTTGGAACTTGTTCAGATGGATGTAAAAACTGCATTTTTACATGGAGACTTGGATGAGGAAATCTACATGACTCAGCCAGATGGATTCAAAGTTGCTGAAAAATAAGAGATGGTGTGCAAATTAGAAAAATCGTTGTACGAATTGAAGCAATCTCCAAGGCAGTGGTACAAGTGATTTGACAAGTTTATGATAGGGCAGAAGTACACAAGAAGCAAATATGATCATTGTGTGTATTTACGCAAGCTACAAGACGATCCTATATATATCTTCTTCTTTATGTTGATGATATGCTGATAGCTTCCAAGAGTCAGACAGGAATTGCGAAACTAAAAACTCAATTGAACAGGGAGTTTGAGATGAAGGATCTTGGTGAAGCGAAGAAGATTCTAGGCATGGAGATATCAAGGGATAAGAAATTGGGGAGGCTTTGTTTGTCTCAGAAAGAATATCTGAGGAAGGTACTAAAACGTTTTGGCATGAATAAGAAGTCAAAACCAGTTAGTACACCTCTTGCTCCTCATTTCAAGCTCGGTGCATCCATGTCACCTAAGGATGATGCAGAACGGGAATACATGTCAAAGGTTTCGTATGCAAGTGTTGTTGGTAGCTTGATGTATGCAATGGTGTGTACAAGACCTGATATTTTACAGACAGTTGGGGTTGTGAGCAGGTATATGCATGATCCTGGAAAGGAGCATTGGCAAGCTGTGAAATGGATTCTGCGGTATATTCTGAACACTGTAGATGTTGGTTTGGTCTTTTAGCAGGGCAAACAAGATGTTCAGTGTGTAGTTGGGTATTGTGATTCAGACTATGTTGGTGATTTGGACAAGCGTCGATAAACTACTGGTTATGTGTTTACATTTGCAAAGGCACTAGTCAGTTGGAAGTCCACCTTACAATCAACAGTGGCTTTGTCTACTACAGAGGCAGAGTATATGGCAGTTATAGAGGCTGTGAAGAAGGTAATTTGGCTTCATGGGTTGCTTGGTGAATTGGGAATAGAACAGAAGCACATCAAAGTACATTGTGACAGTCAGAGTGCTATTCATTTAGCAAAGAACTAGGTTTACCATGCAAGGACGAAGCACATCGATGTTCGATATCACTTTGTACGAGAGATTCTAGAAGAAAGTGGAGTCATAATCCAGAAGATTCAGACCACTGAGAATCCTGCTGATATGTTGACAAAAGTGGTAATTGCAGTCAAGTTTAAACATTGTTTAGACTTGGTCAATATTGTTACAAATTGAAAGATGAATTTGCAGACACTACTGAAGATTGGATTTTTTAGAGATGTGTGTGGAATTTTCCAAGGTGGAGATTTGTTGGTTTTTTGGAAAAATCCCACATTGGTTGTGTATAAGGAGGAGGGGAAATTCTTTTGTTATAAATAGAGTCATCCTCCTCCTTAGTTTAGCATCCCACAAATATAAGCCTTCTTCACTATTAAAGGCTATTTGTACTATTTCTCTCTTTCTAATATTTCCTCTATTAGTGAAATGTTATTTTAGTAGTGTTTGAGGAGGTAGGCATAATTTTTGTCTAACCTCGTTAAATTTTGGTGTTCTCTTTATGTCTATTTAATAGCTATTGTCGGGTATAGTTGTTGTTAATTATTATCCTATTAAAATTACTTGTCTTGGTAGTTCTGTCTAAGCAAAGTGGATTTTAAGAGGGACCATTGTGACCCCTCCTCTTTCCTGGGAATCTACCTTGGGGTAATTTTTAGTACAATCGCTTTCACACTAGTCACCTAGATAATAGTTTTCGAGGTGAATTTGTTATTATTGGTGGAAATTAACTCAAATTCCACAACAATAAAAACGTGAGATTGATTAAATTTAGGACCTCAATTATAAAGGTAAAAGATAAGATTTAAAAAATTAGGGACTCAATTATAAAGATTAAAAAATGAAGGCTTTAATTATAAAGATAAAAAAAATTGGTACCCTGAGGAATCCTCAAACGCTCCCTCTAATAGCCGGCTCTGTTTTAGACCACTTTATCCTCACTGGTTTTCCCTTCTGGTCAGTGTGGTTTAACCGGCCAAAAGTTGTAGATTTGATTTAAAAAAGAGGAGGGTAAACATTAATAATTAATCAAGACCTCAACTGATACACAAGATTGATTAAATACACATTCACATAAAAGAAAAAAATCACTAAAAAGTGGAAAATCACAAGAAATAAACTAAACATAGAAAAAAGTGTATAGATTGTACACACACAAAAAGCAAGGAAATAATACATGAATAATAAATAAGAAATATGAAAATATTGCAACATTGTGGCATTTGCCCTAAAACACCACTATATTTAATTCTTATTGCGGCGTTTGTTAGACAAATGTCACTATATATGAATTTTATTACTACGTATTCTCAAAAACACCAATGTATATCAGTCTATCGTGACGTTTTAACTATAAACGTCACTAAAGGTTCGATGCTTTCCCATAAACACCGCGAAATTTGTCATTTGTGGCATTCTTTCTATACATCTGTTTTAGTGGCGATACATAGTTGGCTATGTAAAATGCGACTTAAAATTTTCCTTTTGTACCTAACTTTGAATTTTTTTATATGTTCTAAACTATCAAATTTCTATTCTATTACAATTCAAAGATTAATGTATATTTAAGCATATTTTTTAAATAGTATAATAATTATATTAACTTAAACTTTTAGTGACAAACAAATAAGTAAAACATAGAAAAGCTAATTAATTAATTTTACTTGCCATACATAATTCTGCAAAAGTAGTGGCCCATGCGCTACATGTAAATCTTTTGCATGAATCAAATTATATATATAAGTAATTAAAGAATGATTGTTATTCTTAGAAGTCTCGGGTTTGAGCACCAATGACTGCAGTAAGAGTGATTAAGCATTCATTACCAAATGATTGAAAGTATTTAGAACATATACTACTTTATAATTACCTTAATAAAAAAATATGTCAATGGCTCTCATATGTTAATTTATATATAAAAAAATCAGAACAATCTCCATCACAAACAAACACTTGAAATGCCTGTCCACCAATTCATTCTTACACCCCACACTAATCTTTCACTATGCTTAAACTGCATGTGATATAATACTCTAATGTAATAATTATCTATTTTATAGTGTTTTTTTTTAAAAAAAAAAGTCCTGATTAGGTATCAGATTGTGAGACCTTTTCTTACGGCTATAAACATGGGAAATTATTGAAACTGCAAGGCTGATTGAACCACTCACCAACCATCAATAGGCTGTTTCTAGTAAAATTCTTCTATTATATAATCCTGAGGTGTAACAATACTCAACCTCCACGCCAAAGCTTGCTCCGTAAACGGCTCTGATCATATTGAACTATCTGGAACTACCATTTAATACGATCGTAAAAGAGATGTATGTGGCCTCCTTCCTTTCCAATGGCCTAATTATACCTAGCTAGCAGGGATTTATATAGCATAATGGTTGTGGTGCCATCCGTAATCGAGTCAGTAATTACTGCAATAGCACCCGTTATATCCGTAATTGCGATAAACACAAGACAATCGAAAACACGATCACAATTTAAATCCCTAAGAGCTAGCATTAGCAATAGCTTATGCAAAAATAGAACAAAGTGAAAATATCCATTATGCTGAGGATGGCAACCAAGACCCAAAATTTAATTCATCACCCTGGCTTGTTACTGCATGACTGTTGAGCGTGCGGTGATCCTGGTTTAATACTATGATCATAATCGTTATTCTCATCATTGTTCATAGTGCTGTTTCCATTGTTTCTTGGCGGCGCTCCCATGATTGTCGAAATAGCGGCGGCTAGTGCTGAGGTGAAATTCGGATCTGAAGCAATGGCGGCTGTAACCGTTTCGACCATGGAAGCCGGACGTTGTCCCAACTGCATTGCCGGTGACGTAGGTAACTTGGGAGGAGCGAACATAGGGTTCCCTAAGAGCTGGGGATATCCGTGTAAAGGTAATGGAAATGAAGTAGTGGGAGGTGGGGGACGTAAGAATGGAACGGCATTTGGGCCGTGAGTTAAGTCAAGGGTTATAGTGGGAAACGGGGCGGAGGCAGAGAGCATGGCCATGGACGATCCGTAACGTAAGGAAGGGAAGTAGGCAGAAGTTGATAGGGCGCCATCGTTGCTTTTGGTTGAACCAGATGGCAACATGGCGGCTGCGGCTGACGTCGTGTTAGCCATAGCTGTGGCTGCAGGTGGAAGAGGGTGGTTGTGGTTTCCCTCGTATGTTGTTATGAGAATGCTTTTATCGTCAGCGCATCTTTGCACCTGTCCGACAAATAAGTTGTAAGTAGTTGAGGGAATAGAAAGAAGGGTTAATATCCGGGCCAATATTTTGTTTAGTAATCTGACTATTAAAAATTATAAAATGGTCATTTGTATTTTCATAAAAAATTATTAAAAAACTGACGATCGTCTGAGTTAAATGTTAACATTTTAGAAAAACTACTCTCCAAGTTTCTTGCTAGTTCTTCTTTGGAGATGCTTCAAAAATCAAAACAATCACTTTTGAGCATGAGTTCAAGTGGTTAACTAGCAGATTAACGTTTAACTTAGACGGACACCAATATTTTATCGAAAAATGATGAGTTTAGAAAATATGAATAACTAAATAACCTTTTGTAACTTTTTATAGTCGGAGACTAACAAAACAACACCATAAGTCGTTAGACCATTTGTGTACTTTACCCGTATAAAGGGTAAGGCTTAAATTAGTACTACTGTTCATTTGAAATAAAAGCCAAGCACCTGCTTACGGACTGGGCAGCCAACAGCCATTGTGCAACGGTAGTAGGCGCGAGGACAAGGGTTTCCCTTTGCCATCTTTTGACCATATTTCCTCCATTGACATCCATCGCTTATCTAAACCAACAAATATAGCACGTAAGTGTCTGATACACTAACATATCTAATTGGAATTGAGTAATAAAGTGATAAAATTTGAGAAATATTTTTTAGGAAGGATACACAACAGTTACATGGCTTTATTACTCACCAAGGGAGCTTCTGATCTTGCTCTAACAGACACCCTAGCCTTCCTGAAAGGAGCTTCAGAGCCTTGGTCTTCATTTTTTGACTGATCTAGCTTTGGACTCTTGTGTGAGCCCCATCTTTGAGATGTTTGATCGGCACCATCTTCCATAGAAACGTTCTTTCCCGGAATACTTTGACACGTTCGATGGTTGTGTTCGATTGAGAAGACTTCCGTGGTGTTTTCCGGCGATGCTAACACTTCTTGATCAGTCTTGTCGTACCCCGAGGGTTCGTTGACATCTAATACAGCCGATGTCCGTGGGTCCATGAATTGTTGTACTGACATTATGCTACCCGCCATGCCATTTAATGCATCCTTCTGAAACGCCAAACTCTTTCATTAGTCTTAATTACCTCCATCAATATCATATAATTTAATATAATGTAAATATGTGAAATCAAAGTACACAGATAAATTATCTTTGCCATCTTTGTATTCTGGTTTGAAGCTAGAAATTAAATTAAACCCTTTTCTGTGTGGGATCAAGTTATGCCCACGAGGGGTTGGAAAAATTAAGCCTAATAGGCAAAAGAGGTTGAGCAAACGCCGCCTATTCTATCGTTGTCTTTACACTATATCGTTTACTACGACAATTGATGGCACATGGTGAATCATATATATCGGGGTCAAGGATTTAAATTACTTCTGCAGTGATGTTTTTGGTTATGTTATGTATATCATGAATGCGGAAGTAAGAGTGTTATTACGGTGATTACGGGTATCATGGTCTTACAATAATGTTATCAAACAACACTGCTACTGGTTAATAACATCAATAAAAAAAAATAACAAATCACTATTTAAGTCCTTAATCGGAGATTGGTTTGTTTATAAATTTATCGAAATTTCTTCAACGTGGCTTTGCATAATAAGGAAGGTAGAAACTGAGGTTAGCAAAGATATATTACCAATAAGATATTGAATAAAAGATTCAACGGAGCACGCTTTCCAATTCAATTGAAGCATGTTAACCAATTTCTTTTATGTATTAAAAAAAGATATTATCTATAATAAAACCTCATGAATCGAACTGATGATGGATGTAATCCAATATGTTAAGTTTAAACATAAATGGAACCTGTTCATGTTGATTTCGATGCGCCTGCTTTTGCAGCGCCATGAATAGTTGACCTTGTAGTTCATTGTAATTTTTGGTAATCTGATCTAACATGCTTCTTAATCTCCGATTCTCTTCCTTCAACTTTTCTAGCTCCATTTCAGCACCACCCTCCTGAACAAAACCCATTTTTTTCTTAACAATTTTAAACTCAAAAATCAAAAAAGGAAATTAAACCAGAAAACTTACTTCAGCATCGTTTGCTGCCCTTGAAACTCCCGGGCTTGAACTCAGAAGATTTAATCCAATCTGATACAGCATGATATTAAGTCAATGATAAGTAAACTCAAATTTCCATGTTATTATCACCAGATAGGTTAAATGAATCAAGAAAATATATTATAAAAAAAGGTTGGGAAGATGATCCAAAACCTTACGTTTACACTCGAATCAACAATAGAAGACGATCCATTATTATTACTAGCCTTGCTCTCCTGATAATGATCATCATCATGTGATTGGTATTGAGTAGAAAAGAAATCCATTTCCGTGATGTGTGGTTTAACGTGATCGCTAGAATCATCAAGGGTACGATCGGGAACACCGGGATTCTGCCGGAGGAGGTCGTCGTAGTGCATAAACGTCAGTTCTCGACGTTGCCGCTTCTCCATGACTAAAACAGAGATTTAAGGGCAAAATAAGGAGAGAGAGATTTATGAGAGGAGTAGTTATATAGATTTTTTCAAGCTCTCCACAAGAAGGGGTATTTACGGTAAGCAGAGGATATATAAAAAATTTAAGAAAGACCAAAAATTATTAAAGAAAAGGAGATAATAGAAAGGGTAAGCGAAGACCAGCCGTTTTTATGGCGGGAGATATGACGTAGCAGTAGATGCAAAGGGACACGTGGCAAGTTCTGGGTTAGGTAGCAGAGAGACTGGAGTGAAACCGTGTGAGAAAAGGATTGGACGGCGTTAAAGATAACGGGGGGTGTTGGGAAATTAATTTTATTTTTACGGCTGTTATTTTTGAAAAGAGGATTAGGTTACGGACGTTCCACGTGGGGGCGTCGTTTAGAGGTCAAGGCAGTTGACGAACGGCTGTATCTGACGGTGGTTATTTTAGGGACAAAATAAATAAAGGTAAATTATACTTTCATATTACAATTATTTTAGGGAGAAATAAATAAGGGTATTTAATTGTTCACCAAAAAAAATATTTAATTTTTTAAATCATATTTAATGTTATATTTTAATTTCATTTTGATTATTTATCATATTAAAAGTTAACAAAACTATTAATGTTTATTTTTTTTATTTTTAATAATGATGTGACATTATCTTATTATCATACGTCAGTATCAAATTTTTAATAACGTGTGACTAAAATAAAATTAAAATTAAAAATAAATATTTTTTTAAAAAATAATAAATAAAATAAAATGAAATAAAAATGATAATTAAAATATTAAACATCTAGTTTATCCAATAACAAATACAAGGGTCTAGCTAGTGGACATTACCTAATACTACAGACTTATGTTATGAATCTGTATTGTATTAATAATTCATATTTTATAAACAAAATAATTAATTTATATTAGTTTAAAATATTTTTAAATTTAAAAAATGTTTAATATGGTGTTTAGTCTTTTTGGTCTTGTTATGGATATTACCTTTTCTTTCCCTTAGAAAAAGATTTAGATAAAATAGATTTTGTAATTAATTATGTCAATGTCGGAAATTGAGGTGAAGAAAAATCATAATTGATCAGCGGAAACTTTTGACTTCTACTTAGCCTTTCACTCTTCTCAAGTTAATTTCAATAGATGACTAAATTAAGACTATGATTATTATTATTATTATTATAGTTATTAGGGTAAAGTACATAAATAATATCTTAATTATATGATTTATTTTGTTAGGTTATTCAACTATTAAAAGTTATAAAATGATCACTATATTATATGATATTATTTTATTGAGTATACCAACTATTAAAAGTTCTAAAAAGTCACTTGACTATTCATATATTTCAAACTTATCACTTTCTGTTAAAAGATAAATAGTTGTTTGAGTTTGATGTTAAGTTGTTGATTGCGATATGATAAAATCATATTTTAATGATGTATGTTAGCAAACATCTTTGCTTTCAAGCACTAGCTTGACGATATAATATTTCAAGCATTGACTCGAAAATATAATATAAATGGAGATTCGATCCATAAAATACGACTCAAAGGGTTCTGAGCTCAGATTTATAATATTCCAGTCAACAAGTTAACGGCTAGTTCAGACGACAATTAATTTTTAACGAAAAAGGATCAATTTGAAATATATGAATATGTAGATGATCATTTTATATCGTGAGACTCATTAAAATAATGCCATATAGTCAATGGATCATTTTGTAGCTTTTAATAATCAGAGAACTTAACAAAACAACATTGTATAGTTGATGGAGCATTTTATAACTTTTAATAATTCGAGTATTCAATAAAACAATATCTTATATTCGAAAGATAATTTTTGTACTTTACCATTTATTATTTTTTGTGTTATAACTTTCAATGATAATAAAATATGACAATATATTATTAATTATTATTGTTATTATGGTTGTTATAGCAAATTTCCACAGTCTGGTTTCTTGCTTGATTCCGCAATTGCGAATAAAGATGTAATGCCCCAAAAATTTATTTAAGGATTAAATTGAAAAGATTTAAAAATACGAGGATTTATTAAATTAAATAATGAAAGATGAGGATTAATAGGATCCATAGCTTAGACTAAATTGTAAGAGAGGATGATTAAAAGGATATTTTGGTCATTTGGAATAAATAGAATTTAATATTCAATTAGTGGGGAATTAAGATAAAAGATAAGATGAAGAGGGGAATAGGAAGTCAACCCTTTCATCTTCTTGTCTTCTTGCCGTGGAAAACTCTTCCCTTCAGCTCAAAGGTAAGTTTTCGATTTAATGTTTATTTACTTTGATTTTTTATAGGGATTGAAGCTTTGTATACTATAGAAGCTAAAGGAAGGTTTAAATGAGATTAAAACTAAGTTATTGATGAGATATTATAGATTAAAGATAATGGGTTTTTGAGTGACATGATGAAATATGAAGGTTTATGGATGTTTTATGGTAGAGTTGACTTGTCATCAAGTTAATTAAGAAATATGAAGTGTTAGAATTGGATTTAGAACATGTTGAAAATTGGGTATGATTCTTGAATCTCATGTAGAAGATAAGATTTTAAGGTTAAGGATGTGGTAAATGTGTATAAATGAGTTAAATGAAGGTATTTGAGTTAAGAGTATGAAAGGGGTTGAAATATGAAGGGGTTGAAATATGGAGCATTTAAGCTGGAATAAAGTGAATTTCGTGCTCAAAATGTAAATTCTGAGCAAGGTGCATCGATGCATAACTAGTGTACCGATGCACACTTAAATAAATAAACATCGAATGCACTGAGTGTATCGATGCACAGGTAGTGTATCGATGCACTCCCTTAAGATGTAAACATCGAATTCAGATAGTGCATCGATGCGTAGGCTGTGTACCGATGCACTAGAGAGAGGATGCATCGATACACTATAAAATGTATCGATGCATACATCAAATAAATGAATGGAAATAGTCTTTCTTTTAGTTTAACAAATTAAAGATTTCAATGTACTAATAAGTGATATTGAATGTGTCTTTAATGGATGCTTGAGTAGATCGGAATCAAGCTCCCGAGTCTAGCAAAACGAAAGGCAAAGACAAAGTAGCTGAGTAATCGAAATTGTGTATTAGAAATAATAACAAGGCAAACCAGGTGAGTGCATTTAATTATGTACGTACATGTGATAATAGTTAAAATAGCATAATCTATTGATGTATGTATAGTGATAACCGAATGGCACTTTGTGTGCTAAAATGTTAAGGAAATCATACTGAGTGTATAGATTTCCATATGGAGCACTGAGTGTGCTAAATGATAAGGAAATCATATTGAAATTATGGATTTCCAGATAGGGCATATTATGTGCTAAAATGGTAAGGGAATCATACTGAGTGTATGGGTTTCTAGATAAAGCACTAAGGGTGCTAAATGATAAGGAAATCATATTGAAAATATGGATTTCCAGATAGGGCATATTATGTGCTAAAATGGTAACAAAATCATACTAATAGTATGAATTTTCGAATAGGGCACTTTGTGTGCTAAAATGAAAAGGGAAGCATACTAAGTGTATGATTTTCCAGATGGAGCACTGATAGTGCTAATATTAAAAGGAAGTTACAAGAATTGTATGAATTTCCTATGGAATGTATGAATTCCAATAATGATTGATAAATGAGTTAATGACATCAGTAATGCAGATTATAGTATATTCATTGGAATTAAAGATTCCTTGGAGATTAAATATCGGAAGATAATTTGTATGTAGAAATGTTATTCGTGATTATTTATGCTTCACTAAGTAATACTTAACGTGTGTTTATTTCACGCGTAGGTTGAATACAACTTGTAAAGAGATATTTGGATATTCAGTCGAGGTCGCCTCATCAGTAACCGTATGACATAATGAACTCTTTTAGTTATATTTTAGTCGGCATGTAATAAATTTTAATAAACATGTTTTAAATGAATTTAAACGTATTTATGGAAATGGTAGATGTATAATGATGCAAGGTTAAATTTTTACGAGTTTTATGCATATTTGCAGAAGTTACTGTAGCAGTACTGTGCGATACTGTAAAAGTACTATCGCAGTGTATCGATGCACTGTAGCAGAGCATCGATACACATTTTTTATTCGAAATTTTGGTGCATCGATGCACTCTTCACGATACTGTAGCAGTGCATCGGTACACTGTTCATAGTACACTATTCACTGTTCACTATTCACTAATTTTAAAAAAATATTTAGTTTTAAATTTGTTATAACGAAGCATAATGCATGTGATATGATTTATCATAATATCATTTACCATTTTAAAGAAAATAAATTCTGAATCATTTTTGAAGTGGAGATGGTTTTAGAAATTCAGGTGTCATCTATAATCTGCATGGCTATAATTATACGGATTATGGGTGTTACATTTATTGGCATCAGGGCTATAGGTTTAGCCGATTCTAGGACTAAATCAAATTTGTTTTGAGTTAAAAAAGAGTTACATGCCACTAAAATGTCAAGGTTACTAATAGGTTATAGAAAGAATATAATAGATGTCTCTCCTTACTAACTTAAGTAATATTTACATGTATGTTATAATAGATGCCAGATTCTACGAATTCAAGAAGAGCGGTTGGACAAGAGATTAGAGATGGATCAGGTAGCGAAAGTTATGAAGAGAATAGTGAACATCCGATCCCATCGAAGAATGCAAGCGCACAGGTATCTCAGGGTATGTATGTTCCGAAGTTTGGAGCTTTTATGCAAGCTCTAGATGCTATCCTAGAATGCCTCCAACCTTCTCCGACTCCCCCTACTCCTTCAGTACCAAGGATGCTAATTCCAAAGGAGTTAAAAAGTTTGGGAGCTCCTGAATTTAAAGGGAAGAAAGCGAGGGTCCGATGGATACAGACTTATGGTTGAATGATGTTAAGGTGATGTTGGAGAGTCTACAGTGCTCCGATCATGAAAAGTTGGGTGGAGCAGTATCATTACTCAGAGGATCAGCTCGAGTATGGTGGACAAACACGACGATGTATGCGTCGCCCAAACAAGTGAACTGGCAGTTCTTTCTGGACGAATTTAAAAAAAAGTATATTG